GGGCTTATGCCGATAGACCTTATCGCAGCCCTCCTGCTCACAGCTGAAGCGGCTGGTGACCAAGTGCTCCTTCAGGTGCTCCGACAGGCCATGATAACGTTTAAATGCTCGATCACAGCCCTCCTCTGTGCAGGGGTAAGGCGCCAGGCCTTTGTGTTGACGCTGGTGGGCGATCAAGCGATGCTGCGTCGAGAAACGCATGCCACAAACGTTGCACGAATCTGAATCCGATGATGGCAAGTCCTGAAAATCAAATGTTTAGTGAAGGTTTCGCAAATGATTATTGGTCTTACCTGTGCTCCACTTATTTCTACAGCTACTATTTCATTCTCAACGACAGATTCTACTTGGGGTAATTCTATTTCAGTCTCTTCATTGGCCAATTCATGCAGTGCTTCTGTTGTGCCCGGATTCTTCTCTATATCCTCTGAAGGGATATTTGAAGATAAATCTAAGCGCCATTGTGCATCGGCTGCTATGCATTTGCTACGAAATGCATACGACTCCTCCAACTGCTCAAAGCAAGCTTGGCACAGCTCACTTGGCAGTTGTTGCTCTTGCTCAGACTCCGACTGGGAGAGTGATAGATCTGTCAAGGTCGCGAATTTGTGCGCCAAGTCGGGCAACTGTTGCATATCATAGCTGCACACAGCTGCGTCGAGTGCACAAATGCAAACGCGGCACTTTGTTGACGGAATTGCTGACGTCATAGGCTAAATTTAAGCTTTTGCAACGTGTAAATCACAAAGTGTGCAATTCTCACAAGAAAACTCTTTTTGTTATTGTTTATGTGTGCCTAAAACAGCTGTGCAGCGATAGAGATGAGCGGATTGCTGATGGTTATATTAACAGTGACTGTATAGTTAACAGTGACTGTATACTTAACAGTGACTTACGCCTCTTACAGTGCTGATGAGTCAGTATGCCAGCGGTATTTGTATTGTTTATGTATGTATATGTGAGCAACAGCTGTGAAGGCGATAAAGATGAGCAAGATGGTGAGGGTAACAGAAGTGTTCGCTCACTCGAAGACGTGATATATCAGGTTTGCAAAAGAACTCGGATAAAAATAGATTAATTTTAGTAGACTACGAATTATATTTACTTTATTAATTATAATATCAACTTTAATTGTAAATGCATTTTAATTTACTTATTATAATCAGGTGCCATACTTTCTGACATATTTTCAATACAGTTTCCCGAAGCTGTCTCACTCGGAGATGTTGCTACTTTCTCACTGGATTCGGTGCTCTCCCGCTTATGTATTCTCCGATGTGTGCGTAGAGCGCCCTTTTGTCTGAAATGTCGTCCACACTCTGGGCACTCGTGTGGCTTCTCGCCGGTGTGGATCAGCTCGTGTTGCTTGCGTAGGACAGGCTGTGTGAAGGTGCGATCGCAGTACCTACAAGCAAAGCAGCGAGCAAGATCACGCTCGTGCACGCTGCGCATGTGTAGGTTGAGATTGCTGGAGCTGTTGCACACCTTCGAGCAGATGCGACAGCAATAGGTGCGCTCAAGCGTATGATAGTTGAGATGAATCTTGAGCTCAGTGCGCGTCGTCTTCTGCACGCCGCAGTGGGTGCAGCTGTAGTTCTTGATGCCCGCATGGCGCATCATATGCACCTTAAGCAGCTGCTTGCTGGAGAAGCGTTGGCCACAGTCCGCATCCTCGCAAACGTACGGCAGCTCCGACTTGTCCTTGTGGGTGAAGCGATGATTCTTAAGGCGCCACAGTGTGTCGAACGTCTTGCCACAGTATTCGCAAACGTGCGACTTGTGCTCCTTGCCCAACTTGTGCCACTTGCGCATGTGCACGCTAAGCGTATTCTTGTGGCTGTAGCCTCGGTCACAGCCCGGCTCCGGGCAGGGATAGGGCATAAGTCCATGCTGGCGTTTGTGTGCTTGCAGGCGATGCTCCTCAAGGAACTGTGTAGCGCAGAGGTCGCATTTGTATATGTGTGTGGGTGGCTTGACCAAGGAGCTCTAAAAAGAAACCAAGATTGAGATCAGCTTTGGAGTGAGATATTCCAAATCAAATTGCTTACCTGTTCGGAAGCCTGTTCCGATCCGACTGACTTTTGTTGTTGAGCTTCGTCTATTTTTGTCTCCTCCGCCGCGGCTTCTGCTTCAGCTGTTGCCATCAGTTTATCAGCCTGACTTTCCTCTGCTTCTACTCTCGACTGACTACGCTCCTGGTCAGGCCTTGTTGCCTCAACAGTCTCAGCTTGCTGCTCATCATCGGCGCAAAATGCTAGTATTTCCATGCGCCATTTTGTGTCGGCTGCTATGCACTTAGCCCGAAATGCATACAAACGTTCCAGCTGGTCACAGCAGGCGCGGCACAGCTCGCTGGGCAACCGCGTCTCATCGGACACGGACAAATCCGTGCAAGTGACGAACTTGTGCGCCAGCTTGGGCAACTTGCGCATATCATAGCATACCGCAGATGCATCGAGAGAGCAAGTGCACACACGGCACTTGGACGAAATGGACATTTGGCCAGTTAGCTTAATTGAAATCAATTTAAAGCACTTTTGCTGATCAGTGTGAAGCGCGATATTCTTTTTTGTTTATGTTGCCATCAGCTGATTGCAGCAGTGCTAAGCAACGCGCACTGTTAGTTGTTGATGCAACTATGGCACTTTCCAACACTGCTCCCTAATATGTGGGTGGACAACTAGTTGAAATTCTTGTGCTGAATAGAAAAATATTTAAAAACAATGGAAAAACCGAATGGAATACACTACATTGAGCTCTCTAGCAATTTTATACGCTTTGACGCCGTCAGCCAGCTAACAAATGTATTCTTCGATGACTCAAACAAGCAGGTAAGAGGAATAACAACAACGTGTAATTGGGCGGACTGCAGCTTTGTTTTGTTTCAGATATTTGCCGTTCGTTCGGGTGGTGCCACGGGCGTCGTGGTAAAAGGTCCTGTGGAGGATACTGTGATATCGTTTTGCATGAGTGATCGCGGCGGTGCGATACGCTCCATTAAGTTCTCACCAGACAATCAAATTCTGGCCGTGCAGCGCAAGGAAAATGCAGTAGAGTTCGTTTGCTTCCAGGGCGAGCAACCACTGCTCCAAGACATTATAACGCATCAAGTGAAAACGCTTATTTATGGCTTTGTGTGGGTGCACAATCGCGAGCTTGCGCTCATCTCGAACACAGGCGTGGAAATCTTTCAAATTGTGCCAGAGAAGCGACAAGTTCGCTCCATCAAGGCGCTAAGCATCAGCATCAAATGGTTCGCTTGGTGTTGCGATGCCAATGTGGCTTTGCTATGCACCACCGAAGGCAACACCCTCGTGCCTGTGCTCATCAAACAGAAGGTTATCACCAAGCTGCCCAAAGTGGATTGTGAGTAGCTCCAAATAGTTCGCTTAGTTACAATCCAATTAATTTTCATTTTATTTTAGTGGGTAATCCGGGTCGAGAGGTTCAGGAGAGCAAAGTAACGCTGGGTAGAGTCTATGGTGTGCTGGCCGTGCTTATACTGCAATCCAACAGCACAACAGGCATGATGGAGGTCGAAGTGCATCTGTTGAACGGCCCTGGTCTGGCGCCACGTAAATGCCATGTGCTACGTCTCAGTTTGGTTGGACGCTTTGCCATTAATACAGTGGACAACCTGATAGTGGTGCATCACCAGGCTACGGCGACGTCGCTGCTTTTTGACATTGCACTCAGTGGCGAGGTGATCGACAATGTGACCTACCATGCGCCCATTACGACAGGACGCTCAATCAAACCATTTGCACTCAAGTTACCCTCGCTCTCGCCCGATGGGCAAATTCTACAATGCGAGCTTTGTATGTTGCCAAATCATAAGTATTATATATACCTTATTAGCTCCTATTCCCGATTACAGATTCCACAAACTGGGTGCTCTTCCAGCCTAATATCGTCATTGATGCCAAGCTGGGCTGCATGTGGTACCTAAATCTGTCCATTGAACCACTGTGCAATCTAATCTCCGATCGCATACGTCTCACCGAATTCCTGCTTCAGCGCAGCAGTGGGAAGCAGATGCTGTTGAAGGTGGTGCAGCAACTGATGGGGGATCAGTATAAGGGCACGATGCTGCCTGTGCTGGAGACCATCTTTGACAAGATAAACAAGATTTATGCGTAAGTGAGCAACTTTAAAGTAAATTGCAAACTTACATATTATTCCACTTCAGCTCCTGGGTCCACATGGAGGTACAGAATCAGACAGCGCTACCTGCGAATGTGAAGAGCACAGCCACTAAGAATACTGCACCGCCGATTGTGCTCATCGAGCAATCGGATATGGTGCAAATATTTCAGCCCATTGCCGAGCGACCCTTCGCGGAAACTGTGTTCATGCTGTACCTGCAATCCCTCAACAAATACAACATATCCGCCCAGGAGGAACTCAGCAAGATGATAATCAGCGAGTTGATACGTAATCGCAGCTTTGATACGCTGCGCCGATTGGTCAGCTACTCCATGCTGCTGGAGTCCAAGTCTGTAGCGTGCTTTTTGCTGGCTCACTCCGATGTCGACTCGGCTATATCCCAGATGGCCATCGATATGCTGGGCAAGATCCAGGCACACGAGGTATTTACTCCTATTTACTCCAAATTAAACAATGTCTAACGATTCGATATTGCAGATAATCATCGAGGTGATGCTGGGTCAGGGCAAGGTCATCGATGCGTTGCGTCTGGCCAAAAACTCGTTGGGCATTGACAAGGTGCCGGCGCGCAAGTTCCTCGAGGCGGCATACAAAACTCAAGATGATTTGATCTTTCACAGCGTCTACAGATTCTTCCAGGTGCGCAACTTGCGAAATTACGAAACTCTGGCATTTCCTAAAGGTAAACGAGAATTTGTATGATTTTTATACAATTCATTTTTAATTATAATCCCAACATTTTTAGCCGAACAATGCACGGAGTTTATACAGCATTATAACAATACTTTTCCTCCGGATAGCGCCAATAAATTGCAGACGAGCTGAGCCCATTGTTTACTAGGATTTGTTCAGTTTATTTTGTGATTTAGCTAATAATTGGGGTGTTCACACTTGAGTCTACAAATAGCTTAAGCTTATTATAATAAACAAATGAACATATAACATGAATACGATTTATATAGAAATAAATATATAGTGTACATATATATGTATATATATATATATTTTCGAATGTGCATAAATATAAACATGTGACATCTTTTATCAAGTTTTTACTATTTAACATTTGTCTATTCTAGACTGAATTGTTGACAAAGTGTTTAGCATTAAAGAATTAGCAATGCTAGGCTATACACATATCATCTGGAACAGTCGCACCTTTCGGGATGATTACACATAATACTTGACGTTGCATTTACACTTACACAAACACGATAATTACATACAATGGCAATATATAAATATGGAATATACGTACATAAAAATATTAGGAATTTACATGCGTGCATTATTGCATTATTATTATCTCTAGCAGAAGCGCCTGGGTGGCGCCTTCAGCTGCAGCGAGCCCAGTTCCATGGTGTTGGAGCTCTTTAGTAAATGCTGGCTGGGGCATGGCAAGCGAACAATTGACAGCTGCTGTGCATCATCCGGTTCGAAGGGCAGCGGTTCTTCACAGCGTGGACATTTCTGCAACGCTGTTGTCTCGCTCCAACACCGTTCGTGGAACGCATGCCCACATGGACCCAGCACGAGAACCGGCGTCTGATCGTATAAACGCTGGCGGCAGATGAGGCAGCGCATGCTGGTTACCCAGAGACCACGACGTGCCAGATGCCGCTGCTCGGCGAACTCTGTGTGCAGATTCTGGCAGAGCTTATCGGCGGCAAGGCGCAGCGCCTCCGTCTCCTGGCGCGAACTAATCAGCATGCTCATCAGCAGATCCTTGATGTCGCCAAAGCTGCTGGACACATTGTGGGTGTTCATGATGAGCTGCACCAGATTGTGCAGATCAATGTGCTGCGAAGCCTCGTGCAGCATGGACTTGGTGATCGACTGCAGCTCCTGCTGTGGCAGAATATACTGCAGCAGGGTAAACCAGCAGCGCTCCAGCTCCTTCTCAGGCAACGTCGGGGCAGCGCGTGCCAAGAGTTCTGCAATCTCCTTAGCTTCCTTCTCAGCTGCATTCACATCGGCTGCGCGCAACAGTTCCATGGACAGGTCAAAGGCTTTCGCATAGCACTCCTGCTGCTCATACAGGTAGATGACGGCTCGCTTCAGCTGATGTCGCTCCACAATGTCCACGGCTTTATTTAGGCGATATCCTGCGCTATTCTTCAAGAATTCGAGCACTTCATCAGGCTGTTCCAAATTACAGTATAGCTCGAGTAGCAGCTCCATTTGAATTGGCTGCAATTCGCAGTGCCTCTCATTGAGGCACTGCAGTAGGCGAAAAAGCAGCGGCTTCTTTCCATGAAGCAGCTCCACCAGTTCACTAATCTTGCCCGGATAGTGCAATGCAATGATGCGCGTCGTCTCCGTAGCATTAATCTCCAGTAGTTCTCCCAGATGCTCGCGCAGCTGTGCATAGATCCTGCGCTCGCTGTTGTTCACATGACGTTCCATGTAGGCGAACATCGTTTCATGCCGCGTCGGATTGTGTATGAGGCAATCGAGCATGTTGTCATAGCGCTGCAGCTTCTCCAGCAAATACTCTACCACATAGTAGCAGCGTGCTCTCTGTGCCAATTTCAGCTGTTCCTCGTCGCTGCTGATGTCAGCAAGGCAATTGCTGGTGAGCAGCTCGTGCCAGGCGCTCTCTCGTTCCGAATGCTGGCGCGTGCTCTCGTTGGCAATGCTCTCCTGTGCCAGGTAGCTGAGCACACGCTCCAGCAGCTGCTTATCTCGCGGCAGGCACTGCGTCGATATCTGCTGAGCAATAAAGTTCAGCAAGCAGCCAATCTCCGCCCACTGCAAAACGAGATTAAATTGAGACTCCATACGATTCTCAGTTCATTTACCGCACTCACCGTTGCATTCTCGGGCGTCATGATTTCGAGCAGCAGATATATGATGCGCTTGCGATGGGAGTAGCCCAGCTCGTTGCTGAACTCGCGCTCCTGGAAAGCCAACGAGATGACATTTAGGGTTTCGCGAGTATCGAATTTGAGTAGAGCGCGCAGATATGGATAGGGCAGCTCATCGACGGGGCTGGAACTCGAGTGCTGGGAGGTGAGGCAGCGCAATACATCATGCTTGACCTGCTGCACCTGGTCCTCGGGTATATCGCCGCTTGGAAAGCGTCGTCCGGCCAAGCAGCTGGATATGTAAACCAGCAGACAGTTGCCCAGATCCGTTTGATCCGCCCGCAGTGGCGGCAACAGCTCTGTCAACGCCGTGGTGTAATCATTCAAGGCGCAAGCATTCAGATAGAGCTGCGCCCGATATAGCTGATGCTTCTTGACTGCCTTCAGCACCTGGTTCAAGTCCAAGCACATCCAATCCAGCTTGAGGATCAGCTGCTCCAGCTTGGCAGGCGATTGCTGCAGCCAGTAGTCCACAAGAGCCTGCGATATGACCGGATTAACGCTGTGTATGGTCTCCTGCTCAATGTGCTCAGAGATGTGCTGCAAGAAGAGCTCCGTGTTGTTGTGCAGCCGCTCCCAGAGCTGCGTCCACAACAGATCCAGTTCGCCAATGGTTATCAGACAATTCACAATGGCGCCCAGACAGTAATCGGGCGCACGCGCTGAATTGGCTATGTACTCCTTGAACAGCATTATGATGCGCTCCTTGGCCTGGGCACGTTTGCGTGGACGCTCCGCAGAGGCGACGTAGCCATCCAAGGCGAGCTGACAGGCCTCCTGCCAGCGATGGTTCTTCACCTGAAAATGGAGAATTGAATTAGTAAACTCTATATTTAAAAATATTTTATATTTACCAAATAACTAATGCGCTCCGACCAGGTCCGCACTCCAATGATATGCAGTGAGCGCGCGCCGAGCACATAGAGCTGTGTGCCTCGGGAGACTACGGAGTTGTAGCAGGCATTGGTGCCGGCCAAGGCGAAGGCGGGTGAGACATTGCCGCCCGTGGCCAGACCCTTAAATTGCGCCGAGCCATAGACTAGACCAGCATTGGCCATATCCATGCACTCCAGCTCTCGACTAGAGCGTACATCCACCAAATGTAATATCTCCGAGGTGTCTAGCGATGCAACACACTTCGGACCCAGCCAGTGGGCGGATAGGAGGCTGCTGTGCAGCTGGACATGACGCAGATATAGCAAAGTGATGCGTCCATTGGCCACAAAGAGCTGGTGAAAGAAGAGCTGATTGCCACGGCCAACGACAATGACGGGATCCACGGAGCGAGTGGTGTCCGCCGCTTGGATAAGCACCATATGCCACGCCAGCAGAGGCAAGCAATCTGCGGGGCCTTGCAGCGCATGGAACTTGATGACACGCAGACGTGGACGCACTGTGACTATAAAGTATTTCGAGAGCGTGGCCAAGGCCACAATGCAGTACTGGTCCAGTTCATGACGTCCATGAGCGTCCATGATGAGCGGCTCCACGGCACACACTTCGCCGCGGGCGCCTGAGAACAAACAGCGTGAGCTGCAGCCCCTGATTCCCAGTTTGCGAGTAAAGCTCAGCGACCACACAGAGCCGCCAGCATCGGCGCAGAGAGCCAGTGAGGTACGTGATGTCCACTTGACGTGCAACACTCCACTGTTGGGCGTTATCACATCGAACAGCTCACGCAGCACATCGCCCGTTTGGGTGTCCAGCATGGTGACCAAGCCACGAGCGAATCCCGCCAGAAGGCGTGTGGAGTCCGCATTGAAGGCCATAGTCGAAACGGCACCTTGGCTATGCTTGTCTTGGTGAGCCCAGCGTAGCGTTTGCGTTACATCAAAGTTGAGTATGTGGCCGTGCGAGGTTCCCACGGCTATGTAAGCTGCAACGGCACAGGCGCTCGCCGCTCCAGCATTGACGCGTTCGGCGGCCGAGTTCAGTTGGGCGGAGATGCCATGGAGTAGGGTGTAACGCATTATAGAGCCGGAACTACTGCCGCCACGTCCATCACCGCGCACACCGCAATCCTCGCCTATCGAGGGCGTTGGCGTTGCCCTCGGCACCGGCATTCCAAGCTCGGACGCCACGTCGGAGTCCGCCTCGAATTCGCTGAGCACCGTTTCGAGAGTCGGCAGCACATCGGTGGGTGGTATGGCAAACTCAACATCGTCCAGCTAAATGTCAAGGGTCGTAATCAAATTGAGATCCCCTTTGTTTTCATTTTCTACTTACGCCTTCGAACTCTAAATCTAGCTGCAAACTGTCTGTGGAGCCGCGATCTGATTCGAGCAGCGATTGCAGCGAAGGCGCCTTCAACTGAGCCATGTCTACACACGGTACTCTCTCGCTTTTTACTTTAAATTTGTCAATATTATATTAACAATCTATAATTATAATCTTAATTTTTATCAATGAACGTCTGTACGCCCACCATCTTATCGATATTTACTGAATTAGCGACCACTTTCTGTTCAGTCGATGGATATATCGCCGGTAAATGCATATCGATAGGTGTTCATTTCGCAACTCTGGCAGTGATGGTTCGCAGTCAGCTGTGAACCAGTTCAGCGTCGCAGGTCTTTTTTTTTGCTTTCATCTCTCTCTTTCATCAGTTCCATTTTAACCTTCATCGTGGCCAGTCGCATCCGTAATCGCGCACGGGAATCCCGTGATTGAACATTAAAATTAATTAAATGCATAACTTACAATAGAAATGTGCGTGAAGCAACAATAATAATTGACGCCCGCGGGCAATACGAAATTGTGAATTGCGTAAATGGCTAGCCAGAGCATGAAGCAACAAAGCGCTTTGGAAGCGGCCGTGGAAACTTCGATTTTTGCATGAGTCGCAACGCAGCCAAAAACAAAAACCAAAAAAATATAGAATAATAAAAATAAACGCAAAGAAAACAAAGACGCTGCCAAATTAAATTGCAGAGCCTATTGAACTAATCGATGCTGATAAATATAATTGTTAATGCGAGTATCTATAAATTTGTTGATTTCGCTGCGCGTGTGCGTTTGTTTGTAATTCGGTTGTCTGCTTTGTTGCTGCTGTTTGTTTGTGTTTTTGCACTACTCTCTCCAATGTACGCGCGTCAGTCGTTTATTGTGAATGTGTATGCGTGCAGTGACGTAAACAAATGCAAATAAAAAGGCACAATTGTAAGCGAAAATTTGAAAAATGCCAACAACAATAACAAGAACATCAACAACAACAAGAAAACAGCCGCATGCCGATGCCGATGCCGTTTCACGTGCCAAATATACATAGTAGCAACAACAAGAACGCCAGCAACGGCAACAACAAAACGATAACTTTTTTTCGCCGTGTGTTTTGTGCAGCTCATTCGCTGCAAGGCCAGCTGAGCGCAACACGTTTGTGTTTGATTCTGATGCATGCGTAGGCGAGCAGAGCAAAGCAGAGCAGCAGCAGCAGCGCAGCAGCAACAGCATGTGCGAGTGTGTGCGCGTGCATTGATTGAAACATAGATGCGACAGGTAAGCCCACAACTCAAATTATGTTCATACACTTTGGCACGCAAATACAAAAAAATAACTGTGTGCTATGCGTGCGTGAGTGTGTGTGTGTGTACGATGTTGCTTTTATGTTGCGCCGACCGAGTGTCAAAATTTACATAGTTAATTACAGTTAACTAGCGAGCGGAAGAGACTTCCACATAAATAGAAACTTATCAATTAGTAAGAGCCAAGAGCGGCGCCTTTGCAGGTAAATTTCGAAATGTATACGGACACACACACACACACTTACACAAAAGTGCAGACGCTCGCTCTTGCAGTGTCGTTTTACGTTTGTCAAGATAAGCAACCACAACAACAACATCGACATCGAAAACAACAACAAAGGCAACATCAAAAGCAAAGCACGTTAATGACATTTCTGGAGCATTTTTACACACACACACGTTCCCCACTCCCCTGTAACCCCTTTTTATCTTCCTTTTTAATATGTCGTATACGCTAGTTTTTCCACATTTTTGTACCCTATCTAAGCGTGGCATATGATCGATTGCTGAATTGATTTGTAACGGTACTTGGTTGTGGCGTTGGAATTTATGAAATTAGATGGAAATGGAAAATTAGCATGTTAAGATATTCAAATTAATGATCGTCACAAATTAAAATTATTTTAATTTTTAATTAATATATTGGAATTTTTTTTTAAATATGTGTAGATTTTAAAATTAAATAATACAATTTTTAAATTGAGTTAAGTTCTGGAAATTATTCTTAAAATTATTTCCATATTCTGACTGAATAATTTTATAACTTCTTTTTCAAACCATTCTATATTTATTAATTATTATTGATGATCACATTGCCTATTGTAGTTTATCTATGATACCATATTTACTTCATTCATATACATACATTTCTGATCTCTTTGATAAAAGGCATTTTGTATTCGTTGCATTTTTCTTGCTTTAGTTGTTTGGCTTTTTGTGTTGATCATTGTGCTTTCGTTTTGTGCTCCTTTAGCCATGGCTTTGCTTTTCATCTGTCTTTCATGGCCACTAAATTTATTGGTCAACATTTTATCTTTTTGGTGCTCAGGCACCCACGCGGCGACTGCGACGCCAACTGCGACGTTAGCTTTGGCAACGGCAACTCCTTCAACTTGTTTTTGGGCTTCTCTTGGCGCTCGTGTGTGTTGCACGCCCACATGGAAATTTAACGCCTGAATGCGCCGTCGACCGGTTCAGATTCTAGATAGTAGATTTTAGATTCATGATGCCGATTTCGATATTTCCCCAAAACGTGGTCGACAGCCACATAAATATTATGGAGAAGGGACCATAAAAGTGAATGAACAACAAATACACAAATATACAAAATTTTCCGACATGAATTATGAGCATATGCCGTTAGTTTTTAGTATCAAAAACTTTTCTATATCTCTTTTCATTCCTTCTGTCTGTCTGGGGAAAATATCTTAATTTCAATAAACTTGGCTGCGTCCCCATTCTATAAATTTTACACAGACACACATTCTCATAAACTAATGTTTTGTTTATCTTTAGATGATTTGTTTATGCATGAGGATAGACAGGGAGGGGGAGAGAGAGAGGAGAGAAAGAGAGGGAGCGCTATGGTGGTTCCTGATGTGTTTCTGATTCAGCGATTGCAGTCGAACAAATTTTTGCAATTGTTGGTGCTTATAATTCAGGCCTTAACCCATTGTTGGCCACATGATAAACGACGGCTTGTTAATAAATCAAAGGCAATCGTGCATTGTATGTTTGTGTCCTGTGTGTATATCCTGTGTGCCGCTGCTTCAGCTTCTGTTGCTGCTCCTGCTTCTGCTCCTGCTCCGGCTCCGGCTCCTGCTCCTGCTCGAGCGAAAAGAGTGCTCGTTACAATGTCAGAAAGTTTTTGTTTTGCAACTTCTACATGCCGCTTGGTCCTTGGAGCATGCAACATGATTGGCTATTGCACTCAGCACAGGATACTCGTATTTCATACGCCTTGTAGATTTATGAAGTGCCCAGGCGAGCCGCTTGACTACGTGGGCGTGTATCCCGCTCTCCCTCTCTCTCTCTCTCTTTATTTATCTCTTCCTCTCTCTCTCTCTCTATGGCTCTCTCGCTCTGTGCCTCTTTGTGTGCCTAACGTGCTGCAAGCTTGTGCTTAGGGTTAGCATACATACTTCCTGTGCGTCCTGTGCATCCTGTGCCACAAGCTGCCATTGGCATTCTAATGATTTTTTATTGTTGTCGCTTAAGTGGCCCATTGTACAGCTGGCAACATATTGTTCCGACAGCGCCCACTTGATATCCAAACCCCATTCAGGTTGAGGCGCCACAGATGCTGCCAGCGCTTCTGTCGCTTGGCCAAAATGGACTTTCGTTTTGCTTCCTATCTATAACAAATTGGCCATATGATAACATTTCTAATTATATACACTGATTAAAACAGTCAAAATATCAACAGCAAATTAATCATAAAAAACATTTTTTTGCACAGTTTTAATTTGAACACAAAAAAGTTGGGTGGTTTCTGTGATAAGTTCAGATGATATAGATCTAGAAAAATAAAGCTGTGAATGAAGTATATTGTATAAAAATTTCGTAGAATTTAGATTAGCTAGGGCTAATAATACAAATATAATAATGAGAATATATATATTTTTTATATGTATATAATATAGTATTTATAATATCATTATATTCTCTAAATATTATGTTTTGTTTTCCTTTTTGTGCTGTAGACAGAATCGTAGTATATGCAAAAATAAAATGAAATTTGAAAGAAATTGCTTAAAAGCATATTTATAATATATCTTTTGCTTTTTTTAAGACTTCAAATATAATATATTTTGTATAATACATAAAAGATCTTATACATCTTATTTATTATTCAAAGAATTCAGAGTGCAATCTTTTCCTTGGATTGTTCTCTATATGCAAAGTTTTAGCATTTGTTTACTAGATTATTAAACTCGAACAATTTGAGCGTAAACTTTATTGCTTTAAGCTAATTTTATTATTACTTGTTTTCTGTTCAGCTTGAGTTAGATGTAGGTAGCTCTTTCTAAACAGGTTTTGCATATAAATCTTCGAGCTTTATCAACTTTTGACAGTCACGATCGTTCAGTTGCTATATTTTTATGAGATTCTAATTATACTTGAGTTTTGTTTTTAAATTGTTTTCTTTTTTTTTATTTCGTAATGAAATGATCGTAAAATAATATTTTTTAATTGGAAATTCTATTAAATGCGGGGGCATGCGCTGCTTAGTACTGAATTCTCGTACATTTGAAGAGCTGCAGTTGAAAGGCTATTTCCAGCTGCCTGAGTACAATTCAAGAGTAAATTATCAACTGGAAATTGATTGCGATCTTTGGACTTCACATAATGATCTTTAATATGGCTGGCTTTTGTTTCCTTTGTCTGCTGCGCTGCGGCTGCCTGGCCCGACTTGCCCCGGCTTGTGCTCTAAGAAATCTTCTTTTCTGCGGCTTATGTTGCACAGTAGCTGAAATTGCCTGCTGCTGCTGCTGCTGCTGCGGCCTTTATGCCTCATCATAGTAGAAAATGCATTCGGCTTAGTCACTATTTGCCCGCCCAGACAATCCAGCTAGAGAGGAAGCGCTTGGCGGGGGCATTTAAACTGGTTCGCTGTCTTCTTCTTAATGCGAACACAAAATGATGCGATGCCTGCCTGAAGTAGCTCAGAGCTCAGAGCCGAGCGCTGTTTCAGTTCTCGTCTGAGTTTGTGCCCTGTGCGCTGTTTATTATGATCTGCTCGCGAGACAAAAGGCAAAATGCCAAATAAGCCGTATGAAAAGCAGCGCCAGGACATGAACCTGCCACAGGCTGAGAAACTGAGAGGCTATTGTGGGTGGGTCCCTGTTGTTGGGGTTGACTGAGTGCCTCTGCAGTCTAATTCAGAACGCGCTAAAGCAAAGCGATTAACTGGATTTACGTACGCCCCCTC